GCTCCCTGGAGGGCAGGGGATCGAACTCGTGCTGTAGAGGCTTCGGATTGCTTCATAGTCCAGTGCTTAACCCCTTGCGCCACCAGGGAGGCCCCCAAAGTAACTTTTTCAAAAATCATAAACATACATTCCCAGGACCCTACGTTTGTGAACTATAAAGTGCAAGGGGTGTGTGTTTGTGGGGTGGGGGGGTGGTAAACACTGATTTTAGTTAATTGAACTTCTATCTCTTCATCTCAAGAAAATAAAATATTATTAATCATAGATATTATTAAGTATAAAACTGCAGGGTATAACTATGATGGTTACAGAGGGAGTTTAGTTTCCTCTCTATTGTTATACTTCCAGTTCTGTTTCATTTTTCCTAGTTGGCAGTGAAAAATGAGATAAAATATCTAAAGTCAGCCTAAGTGTGAGACTGATAGATTCTAACACTTTGCAATTTATGTTCTCTTCTAAAGAACTCAAAACAGTATACAAATACTTATTATCATGACTATTAGCAAGTAGGGAAACTATGGGTGAGTACTTAAAAAAAGTAAAAAGTTCCAGAAAAACAAGGGGCTAAATGGTAGAAGGAAAACTATATACAGACACTACTGTACAGGTCTTAAATGTAATACTGTGTAGGCCTTTAATGTAATACAGTTTAGATTTTTTGCACTAAATTGGATTAACAGTTATGTACAGAACACTCCACCCAAAAAACACTGCATACACTTTTTCTCAAGTGCACATGAAACATTTTCAAGAATAGACCTTATGTCAATTGTCTATAAAAGTACAAAGATTAAAATCATACCATGTATTCTTTCTGGTCATAATGCTATAGTTAGACGTCAACTAGACAAAAGAGGATATTAAAATAGAAATTTAAAAAAAAAACCTTGAGACTAATGAAAACAAGCACACAAGTTTCCAAAAATCTATAAGATGCAGCAAAAGTGGTACTAAGATGAAAGACAGTTGCAATACAGGCCCACAGTAAGAAGCTAAAGAAATTCCAAATAAACAGTTTAATACTACATCTAAAACAAGCTGAAAAAGAGGAACAAACAAGACTCAAAGTTAGTAGAAGGAAGGAAATAATAAAAACAAGAGTAGAAATAAACAAAACAGGCATCAAAAAGACTATGCAAAAATAAGAGTTGAATAAACCTAATCGTAAGCATGGAAATCAAATTAGTAAAAAAAATCTTCCCCAAAGTCCAAGGTCAGATGGGTTTATAATAAATTTTATCAAACTTTAAAAGAACTTATACGCATCTTCTCAAATTATTTCTAAAAATCCAAAAAGAGGGAACACTCCCTAATACATTTACAGTACCAACATTACCTTCATACTCAAGCCAGACAAAGACAGCATAAGAGAAAATTATAGACCAATATCCTTGATGAATACTGATGCAAAAACCTTCAACAAAACAATAGCAAATTGACTTCAATATTATATCACAAGGATTTTACATCATATCATGTGGGATTTAATACAGGTATCAAAGGATCGTTTTAAAATGCAAATCAAGTAATATAATACATTACATCAACAAAAGTCAAGATAAAAATCATTTGATAATTATCAATTGATGCAAAAAATACATTTGATAAGATTCAACAACATTTACATCAAGAATTCTAAACAAGCCAGAAATAAAAGGAATATAATAAAGACCATATATTACAAACCAACAGCCAATATAATATATAATGATGAAAAAGGAAAACTTTCTTTTAAGAACAGGCATAAAACAAGGATACCTGCTGTAACCATTCTGTTTAATTTAGTATTAGATGTTTTGGCTAGAGCAATCAGAAAAAAACAGGAAATAAAGGGAATCTAAGCCAGAAAACAACTGAAACTATCACTATTCACTTGATACGCTATATATATTTAAAACCCTAAAGTTTCCACTAAAAAACTATTTAAAAGAATAAATGAGGGCCTCCCCGGTGGCGCAGCGGTTGAGCGCTGGGTTGCGAAGCTGCCCGCGGCCTCTGCGGCGCCGGTTCGATCCCCGGCTGCTCCCCGGCCACCGGAGGAGGGTCCCACATGGCGTGCAGACTTCTCCTGCCGCCCGCTGCTCCCCTCAGCAGTGTACTTCGGTCCTTCTGCCTGCTCTGCTCCCCGCTCTGGCTCTGGTGAATTCTCTCACCCTCCCGCGCTTCTGACTGTACCCAGTGCATGTATAAACAAAACAAACAAACCAGCAAACAAATAAATAAAGCATGCCTCTATAAAAAAAAAAAAAAAAAAAAAAGAATAAATGAGCACTTCAAAGTGGCAGGTTACAAAATCAACATACAAAAATCAATAGCATTTTCATATACAATGAATGAGAAGAAGAAATTAAGAAAATAATTCCATTCACAACTTCTTCAATAAGAATCAAATACACCAGAATTAACCTAACCAAGGAGGTGAAGGACCTACACAAGGAAAACTACAAGATGTTATAAAAGACCTTAGATGGCAACACAAGAGGCAGAAAGCTATCCCATGCTCATAGATGGGGAGAATCAATATAATCTAAATGACCATCCTCTCTACAGTAATCCATAAATTCAACACAACTCCCTTCAAAATACCAACAATATTCTTCAAAGAAATTGAACAAAAAATATTGAAATTTATGTAGAACCATAAAAGACTTTGAATAGCAAAAGCAATCCTGAGGAAAAAGGAGAGAAAAGGAGACATCAAAGGCATGTCCTGATCTTACACTGAACTAAAAAGGAACAGAACACCAATATGGTATTGGCATAAAAATATACACATGGGCCAATGGAACAGAATTGAAAGTCCAGAAATGAATCCACACATATACCAATAATTTATCGTAAAACAGCCACAACCTACAAAAGGGGGGAAAAAATCTCTCTAATAAAAGGTGCTGGGAAAACTGGACAGTCACAAATGAAAGAGGAGCAGAAAGTCAAAGAGCAATGTCACATTATCTGCATTAACTGTATAAGGCATGAAGGCATATTTATACAACTAAGAATATTTGTAAGATTTTACTTTTAAATAAAATAAAATTGAAGAAAATTCATAGCATAGGGAAAAAGTTATGTTGATGAAGAGTCAGTGTTTTTTGAGTCAATATTTTAAAAGAAATGGAAAAACTATGCAAGGTATTTAAGTACCAACAATATTCAACTAAACCACGCCCACTCTTTAAAGGAAAAAAGACTTAACTGGTAAATGAAAAAATTATCTCAACTAAAGCACCAAGCTGGCCACTACTAATAAATAGGTAATATTTCACTTAAATATCATTATTTGCAATTTACCAATAGAAAAGGTTCATCAACTAGCATACATGGAACACTAGAACCACTGAGAGAAGGGAAGATGGCCCTGAAACGACAGGCCAACGCCAAGTATGTTTTCTATTTCGGTACTAACTAGTCAAATATGAATAGGTTTGTTGGAAAAAAAAGTATTTTTAACATTTTGCAAAAAATTTTTAAAACTTACATTTGAGATGTTTCATGCTTTCTTTATGCCTTCACTTCCAGTATTGTACTATAAAATTGTTAAGAACTATATAGGAAGAGCATAAGATAGAGGTTAAAATACAACTTTGAGTATCATAAAGACTTAGATTCAAATTGTGTTTCCACCACTTACAAGATCAATGGCAGTTAATCCCTCTAAAACAGTTTCATTTATAAAAAGGGTAAACCATCATATTTCTTAAATTCATATTTTTCAGTTGAGAATTTGTGAAATCAGGGTATTTTATTCATCTTTACTTTGTTGTAAGAAAAACTTTTTAAATTCAAGGTGTATTTGAAAATCTTTATAGCAGTGGTTCATAACTTGGGGTCATTTTACCCCTCCAGAAGACAGTGATGTTTGGGTTTTTGTTTTTGTTTTTTTTGGGGTTGACACAACTGGGTTAGATGTCAGAGTGGGAAAAATTATACTGTCATCCAGCAGGCAGAAGATAGGAATATTGCTAAAATCCTTCAATGCGTAGGACAATCCTCTGAACAAAAAACTATGCAGTCAGTAGTCCTGTTGTAGGGAAAGCCTGCTTCAGAGTTATAGAAGAAATAAAATATTTATTTAATAGGGTCGTTTTCAGAATTAAATTAAACAATGAACATAAAATGTTCGAAACTGTACTTAGCACAAAGTATGTGTTCAAGAAACTAGGGACTTTTTTCATTCAATGTTCTTAGGATAATTGATACCAAACTCCTTAACCTAGCCCTCCAAATAATTCAGACACTGCTTCACTACGTAAACTTCCTCCAACCAAGTAATCTATGTTGTTCCACTAACACTATCTGGGTTTCTCAACTCCATGCCTGCAAATAAACCATTTCATACAATGCCTACTTCCCATTCAGCCTGATTGCCTTTAAGGTCTGGTCTGTCACCTCCACTCCAAGGTTTTCCTTCACAGATCACAGAAGCAGCAAGTGACCTCTTTCCCCTTTGCCTTTCCTTCCTTTTACGTGTCACTGTTCCAGTTATAGGACTCATATATTTCCTGAACTCTTACTATAGTAATACATTTATCTTATCTCCCCTACTAAAGCTCAAACTCTTAGAAGGAAAAAAGGCATAAAAAGGCATGGTTTAAAAACCTATGGCGTTTGGCACTGTTAATGAGACCGCTTCCATGGAAATGATGTGTGCCTTTCATTTCTCTGTGTTATATTTAATTCTTTTCCTAACTCTGATTGCTCTAACTCTTGCCTCCTCTTCTTCAGCAACCTCCAAACCATTCTAAGTGTTCACTCCCCTAGATTCTATCTCAAAGTTCTCTCCCTCTATGATCTTACCAACTTCTAATTTCAATTACACTGCTACAGAAAATAAGATTCCCAAATTGGTATTCCTAACATCAATTCAATCATATTACATACCTACACTTATAACTACCTATTTCATTAGATTTCTGATATCTGGCCAACACATTAAGTTCAAGCTGACTTCCCATTCCAATCTGCTGCTTTCTCTAACAATGACGTCACAATTCATAAATCTCAAAAGCTCTGGCAGCTTCCTCCTCAAAATCGCAGGTGACCTCATCCCGTTTCCTTTTTATTTAAACCACTCCCCATAAACCCCAAATTCAGCCATTTAGAAATAGTAGCAATCATATCTCTGCAACACTTTTTCTATCTTTTGCTTCTTTTCCATTAATGACTCTGGCCATAAAGCACATTGATGGACTGCGTAGATAAAAGTCTGACTTCCCAGGGTCAGATCTCAGCTCCCTACATTGTGTGGTGTGGAATGGTTCCTAAACTTCTGGGTCTCATCTTCTTCGTTAGTAAAATTGTAATAATAGTATCCTTGACACACAGTAAGTACTCAATATATATTAGGCACTTTATGATCATTTCTACCCTACTTCAAGCCCTCATAATCTCTTGTCCAGACTCCTTCAGTAACTTCCCATACTGGCATCCTTGCCATTAGTCTCTCAATCAAAATGCTACTCACTGCCATCACAATCTTCACACACGTTACACGTCAGAGCGTCTGACAACAAAATGTGTTGGGATATACAAAGCAATGTAACAAGAAATAATAGCAAATGACTTTATATTACTAAATGGTGTGAAAGAGAGAATGGTAGTTGATAAAGTTGAAATAATAAATTGATACTAGGAAGTGTCATAAGAATCCCAAATTCAAGAATTTAGTAAGGAAGAGTATCCTAAGAGGGTTTGCACCTACCACTCTCCCCAAAGGATTTAAAGGAGCAGAACACATGAAGCAGTTATAATAGAACTGTTTTAATGGGCTAAGCTGTTCAAATATACATTAGTAGAGACAAATAGTTTAACTTCCTCTTTAACAATATGCTTAGGGTATCTGTTTACTTTTTCAAATTCACCTGAACAAACTTGTTTTTCAATTGACCAATACTATATTTGCATTGTTCCATAAAATAAACTATTAAGACTTGGGCTACTTGGGATATTTTTTAGTGTAAAGAATTAGTATATGAGTCAAAGTTCCTGACATAAGACTTCAAATGAAATAAATACTTCTGCTTTCTAGGTATTACAGTGCTTTAGTGCTCTATTTTTTATGGTTCAATAACTTCATTCTTTGCCCACAATTGATTTCCAGCTACCATTTTAAGTGACTTTTCCAACATATGGTTCAAAAAATGACTTTTTTAATTTCAAAAGTTAGGTAGTTTCTGATGGAAAAAGATTAGATCAATGCCTGAAGACCCCATGATTAAAAAAAAAATGATTGCAGTAAATCATAACTTAAAGTTGGGCTAATTTTTTAAAATGATTAACTGATGAGCATTAGGTAATGCCTTCAAAATATGTTGTCTTTTCTGCAGTAAATGAAACTATTTACATCAAAAAAATTAAAATCTTATTTTTTTCAATCCAATATATATTTAACTTATTAAATAAACAAAACTTGACATTTTTAACAAAATATTAAGTTCTTGTTACTAAATCACTTTCTTGATGCTTCTAAACTTGTTTTTCATTCCATTTTGAAAATGATCTTTTTAACCTATTCCAACTGTTTCCAAGGCAAATGTAACTAAGTACCAACAATATTCAACTAAATCATGCCCACTCTTTAAAGGGAAAAAAGACTTCAGGCAGTATGTGCACATTTCTCACACTTACAGATAAAGGATTTCTCAGCAAAGTGAGTGTAAATTGCAAAGATTTCAGAAACAGAAAGACCTGAGCTGGCAAGCAGAAGTCACTACTTGGCAGATGTTTAATCTTAAACAAATTAATTTGAGTTTGTTCTCTCATCTGCAAAATGAGAACAAACTTGATGTAGAGGATTGCAGTAGGAATAAATAAAGCAATGTATTTAAAGGTCTGGTGTATATTAACAGGCATCCCTTGCCTCTACCCGATGCCTGACTCTGGAATCTGTCAAATCAAAATCCATCTCTACCCTTACTAAAAGTGTAATAGAAAAGTTGTTAACTTCTCTGTGCAGTGGCTTCCTCCTGTATTTAAAATAGGGAACACACTACTTGCATCACAGACTGGCTGTGACTCCCCAATGTACAACTTAACTTAAAGCAGCCACCACAGTGCCAGGCACAAGACAGATTACATTGATCTTAAATTCCTTTCACTGCCTTTCTTTTCAGGTGTGTTCAGTATGTGTTCCTCAAATGGCCCAGAATCTAGTAAAGCAGCCTGACATATATCCAGAAAGTAGGCCATTTTCTGGTGAGTAGCCTTTGTGAATCCAGAGCAACATTTTGACTTCTGTACTGGAAGTATCCTCTCAGTTTCAGAAGAAAATATCTTCGCTATTCCTTGACTTCCATTTTGTACACACTGCTTTCCCATGTCACTATATAAATTTCCCTCTTTCTTTTTTAAATACTGAAAATAGTTTTCATTTCTCCTCTAAATGGAGCTTAGCTTCAGCATGCTTAAGTTAAAACCAAAATACTGCTATTATTCTCACTGCTGATTTCAGCAGTGCCAGAAAATGAAGAAACACTGTGTCTCCTCCTATGTACTACTCTGCACATTTAGTTCTGAAGAATTCTTTACATTTTACACTGTTTTGAATTGGCTTACTATACTTACTCCTACCAGTTGTAAAACCTTTAACATCTACTTTAATATTAAAGCATGAAAATCTAAATAAAGTGAAAACTGTTCATGTAAAGTTCCCTCAAAACTAATTCAACCAATTCCCAAACACTGAGATTTACCTGTTAGTTAACTAAAATGTGCAGTCCTGAAAACATGCAGCTGTGTATGTTCAAGCACTAAGACTAAACTGCTCACCCACATATTCGCAGTCCAAAATTGGAAATAAGCTGTCCTCCCACCCCCAAAAGCCTTATATTTAACATCCAGGAAAAGTCAGTAAATACTAAGACACTTTTCAACCAATATTTTACATATCCAAAATTTATTAACAAGAGCACAGAAATATTACAAAATTACTCTTCAAGTTATCTGACAAAATTACCTTACAGGAACATTTATCTTCACACGAAAAACTCACTAAGCTTTTCAGCATTCCATAACATGGGCTCCTATAGCAACAGTTAAGGAATTACAACAGGAGGCCCTTTTCCTGTTATTTTGCAAAGACTGAGTAAGGGAGGGAGTGTTTAATTGCTTCTGCATTATACACTTATGTCAACAGTACCAGCCCTCAAAAACTCTTCTGTTAGGAAAAAAATCCGAAGGAGTTTTTGTTTCTTTTAATTTATGAAGCCCAAATACATTTGGAATAAAGGAATATAACTGACAATACGAAATGCATTTAGCTAACTGCCGTAGTAGCTAAATATTGCTTTTAAATAACTGGATGGATAGAGCCTGAAACGTGCAGGGAAGAACGACACTGATACCGCATTTCGACACAAGCCACCTTACAGCGTGCAGAGCCTGAACAGCAGCCATCATCAAGATGTCAAAATCAACATAGTTCTTGCTCTGTGCCATCAACCTCTTCCAATAATCAAGAAACCAACTCAGGTTTCTTGGTGTTGTAACCACGATTATAACAGGGGGAAATGTATGCAGCAATGACGAAGATATCCCACCCTAAGGAAAAACATGTCAAAATTGCTCAATAAAAAAGCAAACACTTTTGCTATCCAAAAACAAAACAAAACAAAACAAAAACCAGAAATGTGACCAAGTCCCTCCCACCTGACCATTCAAGGGCACTCAGATTTAAAACCAAATCTGATTTCTCTTCCTGCCTACTCTTCCATCACCTCCCTGAGGCCGTGAGAAGACACGCATGGAGGGGAATCTGACGGTCGGAAACAAAAAACCGGAATGTGAAGATCCTACAGGGGGAAGAGGGAAGCGAAGCCATCGCTTACCTGTCCCAAAGGCTTTGGCCACCAGCCAGGCCAGATTGCAGGCGATTTTGGCCCTGGAGAAATCATAGTGGTCAAAGGGCTTGATGGCTGGAACAATGAACGTCTTTCTCATCTCCCGGGGGTCTGCAGCATCCCCCATCTTTCACGGCGGCTCCTCGGGAGGTCCGGGCTCTGCCCTTCACATGGTGTGGCCTCGGCGCCGCGGGGATCGGCGGGGGACCGGGAGCAGCTCCCACCGTCGGCGCCCGGGCGAGGCCGGCCCGGGCGGCGACGCGGGAGGAGGAGCTCAGCTGTCCGCGGCGCGAGCCGGCCGCCTCCCGCGGGAGCCGCCGCCGCTCCTCCCGGGCATAGGAATGTGGCGGCGCCGGGTCCGCGCGTCCGTCCGGCCGCCCGTCCGGCCCGCGGGGCGCCCCTGCGATCCCCCCGCCCGCGAGCGCGGGTGTGAGCGCGGCCGCCTCCCCTTTGTCTCCGTTCAGTCACACGGGCTGGGGGGAGGGGGAGGCTGGAAGGGCCCGGAATTTTAAGGGGGGGTGGGGGGAGCCCTTAACAATCACGTTGTGGAAAACGTCCCCGCCATCGCCAAGCCCGCGCGCCCCCGCCTCCCTGTTCCCCTCCCTCGGAGCCGGGAGACCCCTCGGGCCCCGGGCGGGCGGGCGGAGGGACGAGCGGGCGCGGGCGGCCCACCCGGCGCAGCCCGGCCCGGCGGGCGGGAGACCGAGCCCGGGAGGACGTCAAAATCCTGCGGCCCCCCCTCGGCGCTCCCCGCCCGTCGCCGTCCCCTCCGGCTCCGCCGACGTCGCGCAGACGGCCCCGCCGACGGCCAAGGCGGGGGCCTCGCGAGGCCGTTAAGTCCCCGTCTCCAGTTCCTGCCACTCGGCCAGGCCCGGGTAGCCTCCCCCGGGGCCGCCGGGCGCGATCCGTGCCCGCTGCCGCTGCCGCCGCCGCTGCGGTTTTCCGGCTGCGGCACTGGATGGAGGGAGCAGATGCGGGCACTGAGCATGCGCCCTCGCGCCGCCCCGGCGGCCGCCCCCGCCCCGCTCCGTCCCGCCCCGTCCCGCCCCGTCCCGCCCCGCCCCGCCGCCGCCCGCCGCCCGCCGCCCCCCGCCCGCCGGGCCCACTGAGCATGCCCGGCCGGCTCCGCGCCCGCGCCCCTTCGCGGGGCGGCGGCTTCTTAGCGGCACCTCGGAGGCTCGCCCGGGGGGCGTCCTCGCGGCCGTGGCGTTTGTGTGCCCGCCGCCTCCTGCACGGCTGAAAGAGGAAAGGCCAGGAAGCGAGGAGAGCGAGGCCTAGCTGTAGTTTCATAGTTTGACTACACGAACGGATAGGTATGGAAATGCTCATTTCGTGACACACACTCTGCCGCGAACTTGATGGGCATAAGCCTGTTGAGAACCCCAAGTTCCCGTGAGGGCTCGCTAGTGGAGCACGAAATTTTAGAGGTGATTTGATTAAATGACGGGCTTAAGGAAGAGTAAGGCTCAGTGAAACTCGACAGTCGTATTCATTTTATTACATCCAGATACTTCTCAAGTCGATGCTCTCTCCGGAAACGCCCTAAGTGAGGGGGCACAGTTATAAGTGCCTCCCCGACCCTCCAGATAAAGCATATATTCGTTCATAAAGCAAGCACACCTGTCATCTGGCATCTACAAATCTTTATGGCTTTATTTTGTCAGAACCGCAGTTTTCCAGAGGGGCGAGCTTCTCTGATCTCTGTGTCCTTGCTCTGTGAGCTCCCTCTTCACCTGGCTTGCTCCTAAGTAAGCTGTGAAGAGTCAATCCTCTTCACAGTAATCTCTTCCTCCAGGAAGGCTTCCCTGACAGCTCCTGACACGCTCCCATTCAGGGCTGTCACATAGGGGTCTACCCTACTGTTCCCAGAACACCCTGTTCTTATTTCTGTGATAGCATTTGCCACACTGTCTGGCAATCTCAGTCCCTCTACTGTCCTAACCACTGATGACAGCTCTATCTCCAGTAAGGGTCTGATGTCGAGCCCCATAGTAGTTGCCCAATTAATGTTTAGGGATTAAGAATGGATATTGCGGGGCCTCCCCTGGTAGTGCAGCGGTTGAGCACTGGGTTGCGAAGCTGCCTGCAGCCGGCGAGGGTCTCACATGGTGCAACAGACCTCTCCTGTTGCGTCCGCTGCTCCCCTCAGCAGTGTATTTCATCACTTTGCGTGTTCTGCACCTCACTCTGGCTCTGGTGAATTCTCTCACCCTCCCTCGCTTCTGACTGTATCCAGTGCTTGTACAAATAAATAAATCTTAAAAAAAAAAAAGAATGGATATTGCAGTGAACTGTTTTAAAGCTTACTCTCAAAGTCTTCACACAGTTTTGTACATTAGCACACCGAAGATTTTGACCCAAAGCCCATGTTTTAACTTCTAGGAACCTTCTGGTATTACCTGCCCTTGAGACATATAAAGAATGGGGGGAGGGGCTTTGGGTACTATTACCTGAAAAGGGAGCTCCACCAGCAAGTTGATCCCACTGATCCTATTTAACCCCTACAAACAATCCAGTCTGAAACTAGTCAGACGATACAGGTAAGTCTTGCTAACCATCTAGGCTAAGAAAAGTATGTGAGTGTGACTAATGCAACACGGGGTGGTTGACATTATTTTTCAAGAATTTGCTGGATATTAATAGAGGAGTTCTCATGGACAATACCTTTTGCCTTGGGAATAATAAAATTATCATGTGGATACTTCTAGATGCAGAACGGAGGGTCATAGAGATTAAGTTGCATGACCAAAATTGATCCTTGATCCTGAGACTGTCTCTAAAAATAGGCAGGAGTCTCTGGCTTCACTTCTCAGACACCATCCCCTGTATCTGTTCCATCCCTGATTATGGAGGCAGACAGATGCATAAAGAAACAACACATCAGAATAGAGAGAAGTGTTGTGACTGCTGTAGGGCAGAGGACAACTGGGTGGAGGGGTCAGGAAGGTTTCTTAGGGACTTCTGTAAAACCCCAGTGAGCTCAAATTCACCTTCAACTGAGTTCTAGAACACCTACTCAAATTAGAAACCTATCATCTGGAAAGGTTGAAGAGAAATATTGAAACATTTCAGCAGTCATTAAAATGATCTGCAAGCCAATGCAAGATTCTCGAGACCTGAAACCATGCCTAATCAACTTTATGTTACGTGTGACCAAGCAGTTTGCTTTGCTCATACATAATGGGTGCTGGTAAATGCTTGTTGAATTTTACTGAAAACTCTTTCAACCTAAATAAACACAATGAGGAAGAGAAGGAAACAAAGACAGTTGTTCTGACTTGTTCCTTGAGTCAATGGTGATGCACTTAGTAGCGATGGTATTACACCCCAGCTGGGGAGGAGTATGTCTAGAAATGG